TAATAATTCTACAATTTTTATTATAATGATATTTGTTATATTATATATAATATAATAAATAGTATATAATATTATATAATATTATATAGTAAATATAATAAATATTATATATAAGTATATTATAGTATAATTATATTATACAATACTTACTATATATAAGTATATTATATAATAAGTATTATTAATATTTATTTATTATTAATATTATTGTTATGTATGCTCGAACGAAGAAGTTCGCATAAAAATTTCTGGCGAAAACATTTCCACGGTATCTGAGGTCGTAAAAGAAAAAAATCAGAAATCTCAATCGATTCGACTCGTTTGGTAGTTTTAGTGTTAAAAGCTTCGCAACAAATTGTACAACTCAACAAATTGAAAATATTAAAAGGACGTTTACCTGGAACGAAGCAGAGGGATGTCAGAGTCTGCGATGCTTTATCTGACGTTGCAGATCCTGGTGATTGACCCTTTGTACCCCAGTGGCGACTCTGAGGCGACGCTAGAAATTGCTACACTATTTTTAACAGATTTTTCATACTGTTAAAATTGCATTTGGACTGCGGACATTTTTTAGCATTTCTTGGGAGCCACGGTTAGATCCATTCGCATCTTTACGATTCATTTTCATATGTATATTATTAAAACCTCTGGGATCAAGCTCAATCCTTTTATTAATTTCAATATTTATTAATTTATTAATTTTAATATTCTTAATATTAATATAATTTTTTATATTATTTATTAATATTAATAGACACAAAATTAGAATTTGGGTGGAGTGTTCGTAACTCTGGGTCCAAATGGACCCGCGGCGCCCGCCATCCGAGGGTTAAAGTCCGTATTCGATAAATCGTCAAAAAATGAAAGGTCTTCTATAAGCATCCACGTTCAATTTCATATATACATACAATAATAAAGTACATTAATTAAATAAAAACAATCATACCAAACGAATGTCTCAATTTTCAAGTTAGAAACAGTCTCGAGTGCGAATAATTAACTTCCGTTCTAACTGGTTGCAACGTCGCCCAAAAATGACACCGCATCGGTAAAAAAAAAACGATCACACCAACTGAAAAGACGTTCCGCGTTCGACGAAGCGATCGTGCGAGGTTGTCGAAAGTAGCTCGAGGAATCTTTCCTAAGGAATCGCGCGGCTCGCGTCGCCGGTTCGCGCGCGCGCGCGCGGCCGGTTGTTTTCAGTAAGCTATTATTGGTGAGAAAGTGAACGGATTTTGAAGGAAACCTTGTTTCTCTGTTGCAGCGCTGAAGGTGAAGCTTATGCTGAGGCGACCAATCAACCAGCTGGTTGCGCAAGGCATCATGCCACGTAAGTGACCCTCCATCTCGAAGATCGCCGTGTCGTTTAGCCGAAAACGGGCCTCCGCCCGTCGTCCTCCGCGGCTCCGTTCCGCTGAAAAACTTTTACTGCCGCCGTCCGCTACGGCTTTATCGGGCCGTTACCGCTCAATTAGACCGCGGATACTGTCAAATCAACGGACGAAACGGTGGTTTCTCACTTTGCTCGCAGCGGGGAAGTGGCTTTGATCGTCCAATCAAGCTGGACCGCGGCGAACGCGCCCCGGCCCTCCGAGTACGCCACGGCGAAACAGCATAATTTACGGCTAAATTACCGGGGAATTTATGTTAGGAGTTTGCGCGACTCCCACGAAAGCTCTCGGCGTCGCTCTGCGGCCCGCTATCGTTCCCGATCGCGGAAACGAAAGCCGTACTGCTCTCCGATCGCTATCGCTCTCGAACGCCGAGCATTTTTCCCGGGGAAAAACGCGGCGCGGAGAGACAGAAAAAGAGAGCGAGCGAGAGAGAAAGAGAACAGCGATCATTCAGACGCGTTCCAAGATCGGATGGAAGTGACGAAGCGCGTCGCTCGTAAAGATCACGAGATTCGAAACAGAAGCGCGACGCAGCCCTCGTTAAACGTCGCCGAACGTAAATTCAATTAGGCCCGCGCGCGTAAAATGCTCGGCCGGTGCTTAGAGGCGAGCCCTCGCAGTAAATCCCAATAAAAACCGGAGAATTACTGGCCAGTTAAGCCGCGCGGTTACCGTTTCGTCGCTGGAAACGAATGGCCAAGGTGCGATCAAAAAGTTTCAGAACGAGGCGCGCGCGTGGGCCTAATTGCCCCACGGAGCACTGTCCTAACCGCGCCAAGGGCAAACAAGCCACGCCCACTCGGCACGATGTTGTCTCTCTCTCTCTATCTTTCTCGAAGCGTTGCTCCGAGAAGGCAGCTTATCGTTCATTCTTGATGCAAAGGCTAAAGAGATTCAAATCGTGTATATATTTTCTATTTAACCAGTCGGATTTTCTAATCTTATTTTTATAACAATGCAAACACCTTCGCGTAGGATCGGCTTTAATATATTCTAAAACTCTTGAGATTTGAGAACACGTTTTTGTTTCTACCGAAATTACAATTTAACGCTAGATTTTCGCAGCTGTTTCGTATTAGTTTATAATAGTAACAATAAGATATTTGCTCTGATTTTTAACAAGTGTTATATTGTAACATTTGCCGTGAGTAACATATACATTGAATAAATAATCTTGACAATCGTATTTTGACGATATAAATAATCGTAAATCGTAAATTAAGAAATTAGTGACCCGCCATTTTGACGGGTTTCGTAAATCTAGTGTTAAATAGCTAATGCTCGCTTAGCTATGTTCGACGAGTATACTCGTCGTGCGTAAAAAGCAGCGAATGCGTGTTGCTCTGTAAAAATAAGACCGATTTTATTCCCACTTTCTACAATTTTGATCACAATGAATACTTGTATTATTAAGAAATTGATTCAATCATTGAAATTATATCTTTGAAAGTTCAATAATTTTAAAACACAAAATGCGAGTAATAACAATGTTACTAATAATAATAACACCTTCGTGCAGGATCGGCCTCAAAACATTCTAAACCTCTTGAAATTTGAGAACACGTTTTTGTTTTTACCGAAATTACAATTTAACGCTAAATTTACACAACTGTTTCGTATTAGTTTATAATAGTAACAATAAGACATTTGCTCTGATTTTTAACGAGTGTTATATTGTAACATTTGCAGTGAGTAACATATAAGTTGAATAAATAACTCATAAATGTATCTTGACGATATGAGTGATCGCAAATTAAGAAATTAGCGACCGCCATTTTGACGGGTTCCGTAAATCTAGTGTTAAATAGCCAATGCTCGCTTAGCTATGTTCGACGAGTATACTCGTCGTGCGTAAAAAACAGCAAATGCGTGTTGCTCTGTAACAACAAAACAGATTTTATTCTGACTTTCTACAATTTTGATCACAATGAATACTTGTATTAAAAAATTGATTCAATCATGGAAACTATACCTTCGCAAGTTCAATAATTTTCAAACACAAAATGCGAGTAATAACAATGTTAACAATAATAACAATAACACCTTCGCGTAACTCAAAATATTCTAAACCTCTTGAAATTTGAGAATACGTGTTTCTTTTTACGGAAATTATATTTTAAATAGCCAACGCTCGCTACATTTCACGCGCGACGAGTATGCTCGCAACGCCCCAAAATTCTGCCGGCGACGAGTATGCTCGTCGAGCCCAGCTGGTTAAAAGTAAGTCGATCGGTGGTCCAGAGGCCCCAGAACCCATCGATCACAGTTTGCGCAATCGATCAACAGTAGGGGGTCGGTCTACGGCGTTAGATCGAACGAGTTCGTCGCCGGCCGGCCAGCCGCGTTTTCTTTTTTCTACGGGAGACTCGATTAATCCACTTACAACTTAATTACCAGGCGATTGCCCGCGATGGCTCGAGCGGCCGCGCAAAAGGAAGCAACCGGGACATCGAGCGACTTCCTAAAGTATCTTAAATCGCGATCGCCGCGATTTCCGACCGCGACCGGATTTCTAAATCTGCATGCCGTTCGCATCGTCGGCATCCGCGATATCGAACGGATGAAATCACCATCCTCGACAAATCTCGCTCGCTCTCCCGGCCGAAACGAGCGCCACAACTTCCGAAAACATTAGCGAACGCGACGGCGCGGCGTCCCTCCGCAACGGCGGAGCCTCCTTTACAATCGCGGTAAAACAGGCCGAAGGGGGTTAATCACTTTCCTCTGAACCGGGCGTCCAACAAATCAACCGGAACATCTTCAGCGATCGCAAAACGTTAATTGCGGAGTCGCGCTACGATCCGCGCTATAAGCCGAGATCAAAGTTCGCCGGAACGGGGGACGCGCAGGGCGCCAAAGATCCGCGGCTCGCCGCGGCCACCGTCAAAAATAGGGCGCGCATTAAATATGCGCATCATTCATTTCTTTCGCGAGTCACCGGCGATGGCACGCGCGGTCATTAACGCACGCGCGCGCGCGCTCGAGCGCCCCATCCATCGGGGCCCGCCAGAAATAGGCCGCTCGATTTCCTCGGTTTTCGGCGAGCCGTTCCCGCGATTCATCGCGCCTATGCACTTTCGTTCCGTGGGATTCATTCGTTTACGGGTTCCCGGAGCGGCCGAAGATATCGCGCGCGGGGACGGGCCCCGTGTAATGGTTTTTTCGGGGAAGCGGGCCGCGAATCGCGCCGTAAATCTGTTTACGGCCGGCGATTCATTTCGCCGAGCCGGGCTGCGCCAAATTTTAACAAACGCGTTTATTTCACTTGGTCCCCTGGACTTTTTGGGCGAAAGGGTGGTCTCTCGCGACTTCGTTCGAGTCGATTATCCACGGAGTCGATAATCCTGCGGCAATCATAAACCGTGCCTCCACTTTCAGATTAATTGAATCGTTTAGCTGCGCGCGTCCGCGTGTTTTAAGTGCTTGAACATCTTACGCTGAAACGCAACGTGCTGCACGCGTCCCCTTTGCTCGGGAATAAGAAAATAAATGAACAATGAAAGTAGCTGGAACATGAAAAAACGTCTCGTCGCATTGTGTATTTTGCATCGTGTCGAAGTTTGTCGTATCGAACGGAATTGATTACAGAGATTTTTTGCACAGTGCTAATCTCGTAAAGAATTGTTTTAGAAGGATTCGCCGGAGGCATTTGTTGATTAATTTCCAGCGCAAGAGGTTCATATTTAATTTCTGTAAGAAGAATGTGTGCAGGGTGTTTCATTAATTACGTTAACACTAGGAAAGGAGTGATTCCTGAGCTCATTTGAAGCAACTTTTTCCTTTACAAAAATGCAATCCGAGCTTTCGTTTACGAGTTATCAACGAAAAACGGTGACCAATGAGAGGCGAGCTCGGCTGGCGCGAGGCGAGCCCGTCTCTCATTGGTCACTGCCTTTTCGTGAATAACTCGTAAACGAAGCCTCGTAGAACATTTTCGCTGAGGAAAAAGTTGCTTCAAATGACCTCAGAAATCATCCCTCTGCGGGTGTTAATATAATTGTGAAATATTCTGTATATTGGCTACGGTACATGGCTTCCTTTTCGCTTTTATAAGCTTTTTATGAAGTTCCCCATTGTGTAGCGTGCATTCCCATAGAATACGGTTGATATCCTGTTTATTACGAAACATAATAACGCAGTCCACAGGCGACCGTAACATTCGCGGCAACGAAAAGCCGTCGGGAAGCAGAGAAATTCACTTCGCGAATGCGCGTTCGCTAAAAGAAGTGCATCCTTCGGCGGCGGTGCGCGAACAATGCGAAACCGAGCGTCGGACAAACGGGTCGTTCTTTGCGGGTCGGCGCGCGAGCGGAAACAGGCTTACGCAATCCGAGCAAAATTTTCCGAGCGGTCATGTTGCGGAATGGGACGCCCACGCGTCCGCGAAACGAACGCGGCGAGGAAGCGGCCGGACAAGGGAACGGTGTTCGGGTTTTGAGCGAAGCCGTACTAAATGCGGCGACACGCAACTGCCGCGATCGCGGGGAACAATTAAGCAGCCTGGATAGTCGAGCGTTTTCCCGCGGGGCTGTCAATCGGCGCGAGGACTCGATCGTATTTCAACGAGCCGGGACAGTTACAGTAATGTCTCCCTAACTAACGTTCAGATTGTGGAGAAAAATGGACAATTTGGGAAGAGTCTTGAGTCTTGCGCCTTGTTTTCATAATTACCGATTCTCAACAACTATAAAAACGAGGCGCAAGACTCGAATAATCGTATCTCCTCTTCCCAAATTGTCTGTTTTTTGTCAATTTTCCTGCACAATCTGAGCGTCAGTTAGGGAGACATTACACAGTGGGCTGGATCGAGAAATTTAGTGACATTCTGTTATAACTTTAGAACCATCAAAGATATTGCAATGAAATTTTCACGAAAAATATTTAAAAAGTAGTTATTTTCAGCTATAGATAATTAAATTTTGTTTGCATTTGTTAA